CCGAAACTAACACCCGAAACCCCAAATCCAACGTCCTTGGCAGAAGGGAAGCCAACGAAAAGCAGCAAGGAGCCCGAGTCCACCATGGGCCAAGGATCGGCGTAGTACCTGCAACCAGGGGCAGTGACTTTCGAGTGTAAAGTTTAGCGTTTATGGCTTCGGGCTCAGGGTGGCTTCGGGCTCAGGGTTCAAGATTAAGGGTCTAGGGCTTGGGGGCCATCATCATCATCATCATCATCATCATCATCCTCGTCGTCGTCGTCGTCTTTATCATCACGACTGTCACAGACTCAAAATCATAGCACAAAGTGACACAGGACTGGCGACTGAAGAAGACAAGCCGTTCATCATAAGCACCATAGCCATGGCCCTACACACCTGCGGGTAGTCAGTCGCACTTGGATCCGTGTGATCTATTAGGGTTTAGAGTTTAGGGTTTAGGGCCCTTTCTTCTGGTCTGGCTTTCATCTTCTACGGGGGGATCCGAAGTCGGCCACATTTCGAGCAAGAACGACCCAACTCCATCCCAGTTTGAAGGGGAATTGGGGGATGAAGACGTCAGGGACTCAGAAATGAGGCTTTCGAGGCCCGCATCAAATTCCTGCAACATTCAGGGCTCAGCTTGCGGTCAGGGAGACTTCCACCTTCTCGGGAGCTTCAGACAACGATTTGAGAGCCAATTGATGAGGAATCTACGCAGCACTGGTCTGAAGAGGGGGTCTTTGAATCGGTATCCCCACTTTGACGGACGTACGAAAACCCCATGGGTCAAAACTCTGACTTCGAACTACGCCACACACACACACACACCCACAACAAGATCTACAGTAGGAATCCAGGACCTAGGATCGTGGGACCAGCTACCAGCAGGCACCCGGCCTTAGCAGACATCCATCCTGCAAGGAGCCTACCAACAAGCAGGTACGGTATGGCAACCTCTCAAAAATGCCCTACCCAGAGACTCTACATAGGGGAGTACCCCTTAGAGTAAAGTTTTCCATGATAAGCGATAAGGAATCCTTAAGGATGGGATATCCCGGTAGCTTATGATAACAAGGAACCCTTAATGAAGGGGTCTCTGGAGTCTCCGGCATAGGAAGCCCCGGCACCTCTCCATGTCCCCCTCGATGTTCGGAGAAGGCAAAGCCCAGAGGTTTGATGAGCTGAGCTCCAGCTCCTGAAATTGGGAGGCGCTAGGGCTTCAGTGGGCTTTAACATAGGGGCCCAAATTTTGCCGGTAAGGTGTCGGGGTACAGTCCGTTATAGTCTAACCAGAATGGGAACCATGGGGTCTGGGCTGAGAACCGAGATGCTGACTCTAGGCTTCAGCTTTCGTTCCGAGGTTCTTGTGCACTGAGTCCTCCAAAGCCCTAGCCCGTATCGGATGAAGCCTCCATCAAACTCGACCCAAATAAAACCTAAACCCTCAAACCTAAAGCCCCAAACCCCTCGAAAACGCCTCTAGGAAAAACCCTAAAGCCTAAACCAAAACCCCCCCCCCCCCCCCGCAGCCCCCTCTGAAAAGCCTAGCCTAAGCCTCTCCTCTGCAGTACCACGGAGGCCAAGGAAGGCGTACATGTGGCTGATGCCTCCCTGCAGCTTCCTCGGGATGCCACGACGTTAGGTCTTATCTCTAAGGGTTTAGGGTTTAGGGTTTAGACCCCAAAATCTGAAGACCCTAAGTAAGCAGCCTTACTTGAGACTTGCAGGGGCACAGCCTGAATCTAAAAAGAGCTCCGCTGGCTCTGGCTTCGAAGGTTCATGTCCGCAATGGCGCTTTGCGGGGTATAGGCTTTGTTCAATGTTGCGCAGGGGGGTTGTAAATCTCAAGGGGTTTGGAGTGGTTAGTACGTCAGGCTTTCGCTGGCAAAAGTTCGGCATTTCGGGGCTCAGAGGCGTGGTGAATAAACAAGTCGAAATCAAGTCTAAAGATACACCTAGTTCTTGTGATTCTGGTGTTGTTCTGGTAGCTGCGCCCTTGACCTGACCCCAAACCCTAAACCCTCTCATCCGAGCCTCCGAACCTTGCCGCTGGGTCACTGGGGCGGGGCAAACTGCGGGAAGAACTTCGCGGTCGCCTCTGCGCCGGCAGCGGACACCACCAGAGGCGCCTCTTTGGGCTGTGGCTCAGGGAACGCAGGGCCTCAGACTTTAGGGTTTAGGGTTTAAGGTTTTGGGTTTAGGGTTCAGGGTTTAGAGTTTAGGGTTTAGAGTTTAGGGTTTAGAGTTTAGGATGGTTCAGGGGTTTTGGGGGCTTTGACTTTGACGCTTGGGCGAAAAGGCTTGGCGACCACTCTGCCCGGAAGCATTGAACCCGAAGCACCGAAGTCCGAATTACTTTGAGCTAAAGCCGAAACCCTGACAGAAACCCAAGCCCCACCCTAATCTCCTAAGCCCCTAAACTCCTAAACTCTAAACCCTGAACCCTAAACTCTATCCCGAAGCCAAGAAAGAACCCCAGCCCAGGGACCCAAAGACCTCAAAAGCCGAACCAAGCACCATAAAGAGGGTTTAGGGTCTAGGGTTCAGGGTAGAACGTGCTTTGAAGTGTCGGGTTTGGACTGCGAGTTTTAGGGCTCTTGCCCTGGGGCCCTAGGGTCTTTAGAGTTTGATGTTTTATGGGTTAAGGGCTCCATCTCAGAATTGTTCCGATTGAGCATGCATGTAGGGCCATGGGTAATTTGGGCTTTGGTTTGGAGTTGAGGGTCTAGGGCCTGCCATACAAGCCTACACCCACCCCATGCTCCAAAGCTCCAACCCTAGAAAGCATGAAACCATACTCTGAAACCGAGAAAATTGAACCCAAACTCAAAAACACTGATGAGCTAAACGCAAACAGGGCCTATACCCTCAACCCAAAAACCCTACACCCTACAATAATCATCACCAATGACTGCTCAAACTAATGCTCGACGGAGGAGCCGAAATGTGGGTGCCGTTCCGGAGGGTCACGCCAGTGACCTGGGCTGGGTTTGGTCTGATCTCGGGGAGCACTTAATTTACGTGGGTGTTTCAAGGGTTCTGCAAAAAGGTTTGATCACTGGGTTGTTAGGATTTACAATGGTTTTACGGTAGCAGCCTGCACACGGTTCAGAGTGGTGGGTCCTGTTTAAGAGAGCATCGGAATACGACTTTGCGAATAGGGAGTAAGTTGTTGCGTCGATTCACTGTATAAGGAGTCCACATAACGAAGCTTTGGCGATTCCGCGATATGTATAACATACGAAATGTCTGTCTAACCAAGTGTCTACACTTCATTGGTAGAAACGTATCACTGTCTATGTAGATGTCTTAAAACCCTAACCCCCTATACCCTAGACCCTAAACTTAAACCCTACGCCCCTAAACTGTTTTAGGGGGTCCCTTCTTGGGCTTTCTGAAGGATCCGAGGGGCCCGATTCCGCGCCACCTCCACCCGAGCCACGGGGGCGTTGACGAGAACCCGGCCCCCGGCTTTCTCGATGGTGCGGATGAGACCCCGGCTGATCCTGCAGCTGCCATGGGGTAGGGTTTGAAGGGCTTCAAGTTTTTTGTTGCGTTTTGGTGGGTTTTGGTGGCTTTTGGTGGGTTTTGGTGGGTTTGGGAAGTGAGAACTTGAGGTTTAAGGCTTAGGGCTACGTCTTGAGATTTTGGGGCTCATCGAAGCCTTTGCGGGCCGCCGACGGGGTAGTAGCCGCCCTCCAGGTAGTGGCTGACGATGCCCGAGTGGATGAAGAAGGAAGCCGCAGATGGCCTCCTCGGACTTCTGGGCTTTGGGCTTTGGGATGGAAGGTTTTGTTGGGAATCCCAGAAGAATAGAATTTTTACGGACACCCTCAACCCTAAACACCTAAACCCTAAACCCCTAAACCCCTAAACCCTAAACCCTAAACCCTAAACCCTAAACCCTAGCCAATTTCGGAAAGCGTCATCTCTTGGGTCACAGGAGGGTTTGCCAGTCTCGGATACCGGCGTCTTGCTGGGACTTAAGCGAGAATGCTTTCGAACGGCTCAATTCCCCTAAGCCCTAAACCCTTATAGTAGCCCTATAGAACCCTTTGAGGAACCCTAAAAAGGACCCTTATAAACCCTATTCTCCTCCTCCTACTTCCACGACGACGACCACCACCTCTGCCACCACTACTCCTGATTGATACTGCTTCTACGACGACTTATAGGCAGAGCCGCATGCCGTAGTCACCGAATTGGCCGAGCAGGATGGACTTCAGCAGTTCTGAAGAGAAGAGCTCGTCCAGAACCTCCTTCGCCTTCGGAAGCATGAAATGTTGGGTTTAGGGTGGTGGCATGCAGAGTTCAGGGTTAGTTACGGATTAATGCTCGGCACTTGCTGCAAAATCCAGGACCCAACACAGAAGGTGTTGGCCTCTAGTTACTTACTGTATGGTTTCGGGTCTGGGGCATTGCGAGTTCAGAGATCACTACACTCCAAGCCCGACATCCTAAGCCCTCAACCCCAAACCCTGGCCCCAATTCACCACACACCCTTATTCTTGCACAGCTGCGGTTCGGGTCGCGAGCTTCTTGAACTTGCCACCCAGGAGGAGATCCTCTCAATACCAGGTTTAGGGTTTAGGGCTGAGGGTACAAGCAACGAAGCCCTCAAAATGACAAAGGAGGCGTGCCCAGCAGGCTAGTCCCGTACGAGCCAACAGAAGATAAGGGTCCGTGCATTGAAGCTTTCGAGGAAGGAAGATTCAATGAAATATGTGTGTGCTTCCCAGGCGGATCTCTGGAAGGGGTCCTAAAAGACTGAAAACAACTAAGTATTCATATCAAGCTCCAGGGCCAGAAGAGGCCAGGGCATCCGGGTTTTCTAGAGGGAGCCAAAAACTAGGGCCCGCAAGGGTGGTCGTTTTTATGCTTAACCCCACAAAGGTGCTTTGTTGTAAGGTTGTCGTGGCTGAGGTTCTCGTAGACCCTAAACCCTAAACCCTAAACCCTAAGAAGTTGCGGTTGCAGGTTGCACGTCGAGGGTTGAGGGCATCAGGACTTTCAGGGGCGTAGGGCCCTAAAACCCCAACCCCCCAAACCCGAACCCCAAAACGCTGAACCCAAAGCCCCAAACCCCAATAGTCCCCAAAAGGAAATGCAAAGCCCTAAACGCCTGAAGCCTGAGCCCGAAACCCTGAACCCGAAATGGACCCTTCGGCCTTATCGCACTAGCCCTTCTTATTCACAGCCTTATGGTAACAATCAAAGGAGTCCTTTCCCCTAAACCCTAAACCCTAAACCCTAAACCCCTAAAAACCCTAAACCCTAATTAAAGGAACTCGAATCCCCTAAAAGGACGCCCTTGAACCCTTAAAGGAGCCCCTAAACCCTAAACCCTTAAAGGAGCCCCCTAAAACAGTGGTCCAGGAGCAGCTCGATGGGGCGGGCAAAGAGCTTGCCGAAGAAGTGGAGCTCCGCTCCCTTTTGAGTTTAGGGTTTATGGTTGTGGGTTTTGGGCTTAGGGTTTAGGATTTTTGAGTTTAGGGTTTTGGGTTTTGGGCTTAGGGTTTAGGATTTTTGAATTTAGGGTTTTGGGTTTTGGGCTTAGGGTTTAGGATTTTTGAGTTTAGGGTTTAGGGTTTAGGGTTTGGGGCTTAGGGTTTGGGGTGTTTGGGTTTGGGGTTTGGGGGTTGGGGTTCAGGGGTCTTTTAGTTTGGGCTTGGGGCTTTGGATGTGGTTCTGCGTTCGTGGTGTTGGGATTCGGGTTCAGGGTCTGAGATTCAGTGTTTGGGGTTTAGGATCTTGGGCTTAAGGTTTTGGGCTTGGGGTCGTTGGCTTAGGGAAACAAGGACCATGGTCACTGGCGGGACTACGTAGGGACTGTAACCGACTTCTGAATCAGCAGAGTCGCTTCCAGCCATCTCAGAACCCAGGCTCGAGCCCAGAAACTCCACACCCAAATGCCCTAGATTCGCTAAACCTTGGGCCCTGAACCCCCACTGCCTCACGCACCTGTCTCTAGCACTCAAGCCTCAATCTCTCTAACTTCTGGGCCTGAACAATCAGAATGGGGCTTTGGGGGCCATTATAATCTAAATATAATAAGGCACCCTGGCGGTAATCTTGGTAACCATTTAGGCTTCTATGTGAAGCCAAGGGCCTTGTTGCACTTGGTGACGAGCTCCACGTACTTTTCGATGGCCTCCCTCTCCTCCGGAAAGCGCTTCTGAAGGTCCTCTCCGGCGGCAAGAACCGGTTTGGGGTTTAGGGTTTAGGGTTTGGGGTTTAGGGCTTGGGGTTTGGGGTTTAGGCCTTGGGGTTTAGGGTTTAGGGTTTGGGGTTTGGGGTTTAGGGCTGAGGGTTTGGGGTTTAGGGGTTGGGGTTTAGGGTTTAGGGATTAGGGTTTCGGGAGCTTGGCATGGAAGACCCTGAGCCCTAAAGATGTAGAGCTCTTAGAGTTCAGGGGTTGGGGTTTGCTTAGGGCTTGGGGCTTTAAGGCTTTCTGGTTTCGTTTAGGCTCAAAGCTGCGATCCCAAAGCATCCAAAAACGTTCCAAAAAATCCCGACGCCCCAACTGCGAAAAAAAAGCACGGAGTAAAAAAAAAACTACAGCCTGAAGCTTGAACTAGATCGATTGTGCATGCATATACATATACATAGCCATATATATATATATATATATGAGCCCGACACCTTTAGGGTATATTTAGCTAGCCCT